ATACGAAGATATTGTCACTCTTGTCAAATATGCCAACTGAGAAATCCGGTCAGGATAACAGAAAGAACTCCCATAACTCCCATTTCGAGGAAGGAGGAGGTACCGTTTTCCCATCTGGTAATGGATTGTATTGGGCCGATGATATCAACGGAAAGCGGACCCAAACCAAGATATAATTACGCCTTAGTTGTGGTGGATCTCTTCACTAGATGGCTCATGGCATACCCGATGAGGCACATTACTGCCAAAGCGACATGTGAGGTGCTGTTGCAGATATTTATGACTTATTCTATACCAAGGGTCATCAGTTCCGATCGGGGTACTAACTTCACGAGTGGTATAACGCAGGCATTGCTTCAAAATTTGGGATGTAGTCCTCAATTCAATACACCGGGACATCTGGAAGCGGCAGGAGTGGTGGAACGATGTAACCAGTCGTTAAAGAGTATGATCCAGAAGTTGGCGCAAGATCATCCTCGGAGTTGGCATCGTATGTTACCATTTGTTTTGTGGGCTCTTCGAGAGAAACCTTCAGCGACCACTCATGTTAGCCCGTTCACCATGTTGTATGGAACGTTGCCTAGGGGTCCTTTAATGATTTTAAAAGAATCATGGGTGGGAGAACGCTGCTTGCCACTAAACCTAGGAAAACAACCTGATGTATACCTGAAAGAGTTACGACACAACTTGGAGGTCGCGCATGGTTATGCGGAGGATCATGCTGACAAGGAACAGCAACGGTACGCTCATCATTATAACTTACGCAGTACAAGTCAAAGATTTCAGTTGGGGGACATGGTTATAGTTCTAGTTCCCTCGATGTGGAGGAACAAATGGTGTAACAAATGGCAAGGGCCTGGTACCATTGTGAGAGTAAAATCCCCACATTCATACATAGTTGAATTAGAAGGACAAAAACACCATGTCCATGTGAATCATATACGGAGGTATAACCAACGGATCGAGGAAGTTGCTCTGAATAATTGTGTCATTCTAAGGAACGATGAAGAGGACTTCGGTCATCTACATTCATATGAGCCGGAGAGCACACAGGAGGTGAACATGGTACAAAGACAGATGGAGAGCATAACTCATTTATCAGATGTACAAAAGAAACAAGTGACGGAGATAGTGAAAATCCATGCGAAGATATTCCAACCTCGGGTGGGATTATATTCAGCCGTACAGC